GAAACGATGTACAAATGCGCTTTACACAATTGATGTGTGTATGGATTGGGATAACAGTTGTATGAGCCCCTAATAAAATGTTAAAAAAATATATGGAAAAAAAATAAAATAAAATGCTAGGGTTTTCCCTTAAAAAAAAAAAACAGAAAGAAAAAAATATATATCAACTATAACAGCATATACAAGGTACGAAAACAGAAACCCAAGCATCCATGAAAAGCAAATTGTTTCAAGAAGGAAGAGAATGTTTTGAAACTGATTGTGGTAGTCATTGCACAACACTGCTTGGTGGGATTGAACTATGGAGTGATATATCTATAGTAGTTCCTAATAAAATGGAGTGTTTTGGGAGGGGGAGGGGAATTATTTTTTTTAAAAAAGCATATTACTTATATAAATAAAAAAAACTGCCATCGAGTTTATTCCGACTCATAGCCAGCCTGTGGGTTTCTGAGACGGTATCTCGTTCCAGGATTAGAAAGCCTGTCGTTCTCCCAGAGAGGCAGGACTCTGTGGTAATCAGCCCAAGACGTACCCATCTGCCATCAGGACTTCTAACCCGGATGGGGTCCCACCGAGATTTGAACTCGGGTTCAGTGGGCATTTTAATTGTTCTGTGTACCTGCTGCCATTGAGCTGACGCTGATTCATGAGACCCAGTGTGTTCGAGTGGAACTGTGTCCCGTAAGGCTTTCAACGGCATGTTTTATAGACGCAGACTGTCAATCCTTTCTTCCAAGGTCCTCCTTGGTGGACTAACTGCCAACATTTCAGTTGGCAGCCTGGTGTGTTCCATTTGCAACATCCAGTGACGCCCCCCAAAATGGATCAGCTTAATAAAACATTACGTTGCTCAAGAGATTTAGGAAGAGCTCAGCCGGGTGGTTCATCTCTGGTTCATAAGGCATCAGCTAGAATGAGTTCGGGTAGAGATTCCACTTACAAATGGCTCATTCACTCACATTTGCAGCCCTGACCATTCTTTGGCCTCTCAGCCTTCTTACGGATCTTATGCACCAGGGTCATCCCCCCTGTGGCTTTCAAGAATGGTCTCAGGATACTTACACTGAATGCTGAGGGCTGGCTTCCAAGTGGCAGGAAGCGTGAGCTGTCAGGCCACAACTTGTATGGAACTGGAATGCTATCACTTCTCCCATAATTCTGTGGGTCAAAAGTCATGGGGCCCACCCAGATTTAAATGGAGGGAAGGCAGAGAAATAGACTCCACCTTTTGATGGGAGCGTGGCACGTTATTGATGCGGAAGAGCACACGCGATTGAAGATACAGGTGCAGCTGTCTTTGGCCACAGCAGGGCTATAGGTAATTGTTGGTTTCTTGTTTGCACTTTCCTGCATTTGCCACATTTTGTACACTACGCATGTATTACTTTTATCATCAGAAAAAGAAAGTGATAAAATGAGGTATGGTGAGGGAGGGGGTAGCGGGGAGGGAGGGAGGGGGAAGAAAAGAAAAATGAGCAGCTGACTCCAGGAGCCCAAGCGGAAAGTGAGTGTTTTGAGAATGACGAGGTCAACAAATGTGTAAATGTGCTTTACACAATTGATGTATGTGTGGATTGTGATAAGTTGTATGAGCCCCAATAAAATGATTTTAAAAAATTGTGTTATGCACCAGCACAGGTCACCATCAGTACAAGAGAACATTCCACAGAATTTCAAACTCTCATGGAATCCAGACTTTCGGGAGCCCTCGAGGTGAGACAAAACCTAGCACTATTGCCCTGAGATCATCTTTAAATCGTCAACCCCAAACGTTCACCCTATATCTTCTCTAAAACAAATGATCCTTACGTTTCATTAGGGAATAAAAAGGGGGAAAAAAAGCTCTGTCCGGAGAATTGGGTGCTTTTGAAATCTATCTACCCAGGATCAAATTGACAACAAAAACTCGGCAATGGATCAGCTATGAAGCCTAGTGGGCACGAGCGTGTGTTAATGGGGGAAGAACCATCGGGAAAAGGAGGCGGAGCTTACCTGTACAACTTGAAGAATGCAGTCCCTGAACTGGGCATTTGAAAACTGCCGAATTGGTTTAGATTCTCTGTACTTCCAACCACAACTTCAAGGAGGCTCCAGTAGGCTAAGCCTTTCTGCGACTGCCTTCCTTTCACCGTCACACATTGTTCCCGCCGGCCTCAGTCGAGGGCTCCCAAAGAAGCTGTCCCCTCACGGAGCCCTTTTCCGGAGGGCCTGGCGCCCGCCATGGCCTGGCTTTCCTGAAGTCAATCTACACAAAGGGCTCTTTGCTTCAGTGCTATTTTTTTTTCCTTTGAAGAATCAAATTCCTTTCACAACGGCCACAGTAAAAGTCTGCCGTGCTGGTTTATATAAACAAATATTCGTTGAAGAGCCCTGTGGCACGAGAACAGTGCTATTCTGTTGAATAGCTGAAGTGTGATATTTAACAAGCACCTCTTATGTCGGACGTAACATGCATGGCAGGGATGACAAGGACACAGAGCGAGATGATTTGCTGCCTTCAAGGAGTTTATGTTGGTGGAGAGAAACAGACAATCATTACCAGATACAAAGCAGAAGGGGATCCACTTTAAAAATCGATGGGTAGCCAAAGTATGGCAGGGGCCCAGAGTTTGGCCAAGGGCTTTGTGGAGGATATCCTGTTTAAACTGCGTTTTAAAGGAAAAAGCAAAGCCCTACCTGATATGGGAAGACCAAAGACTTCCTGGCTGAAAACACTGTGTGAAAACAGGCGGCCCTTTAAAAAATATTGTGTGGAAAAGAAGCCAGGGCATGCAGACTAACTCCCACTGTAACTACATCCTAAAGACTTGGAGGGTGAACAATTGGACCCCACTTGTATTTTTGCTGTGTTTTACAGGATAATCATTCAGAGGGGACCCATGGGGCCGGGAGACGGTTAGAACCTGTAACCGTAAAAAGAAAGGAGGCGGAGCGAAAGCGGTCAGAGGAGTATGGTGATGCTTGGAACCCTGGGCTGTGACTGAATTGTGGGGTACGGAGAGGGAAATGAATCCAAAGTTTCCCAACCGGTAAGACTAGGAGGGGCGTTACCATCAAGCCAAGAGCAGAGGCTGCCTTTAAAGCTCTGTCTGAGGTGCCTGGGAGAGGCAGTCAGTGTTTAAGGCAGGTGGAGACTGGCGTGACAGAGAGCCCACATCGTCACTGTGCAGGTGTAAGTCACAGAACCCACTCCGGGAGGGAAAGGTTCTCCTTAAAGGAGCCAAGGCAGGCTGAGCGAGGTGGTAGGGGGTTGACGAGCTAGAACAGAATTGAGAACGGAAACATCCAGGTCTCATGCAGCTGGCTCGTAAGGTCAGACCGAGGAGTGGCTCCTCCTGCCAACTGACAGGGTCACCCTTCCCGGAAGGCGAAGCTATGCCGCCGATGAGAAGGGTTCTTTGCTGGAGAGCTTCCGTAAGCGATTGCAATGTAACTGCAACCACAGGCTGTGTGTGCACTGACCCCCTGAAGGGTGACCGCTGACGGACTGAGTTTTCTCACTTTAGAGCCAAGCCTCCAGAACTTTCCACGCAGCGGTGGACAGAAAGATTGGGTTTAAAATGTGATTTCTGCTGATGGCCGCTACTGCCAATATCAATTTAAAACAGCAGTTCTCAACCTGTGGGTCGCAACCAACGACCCTTTCACAGGGGTCGCCCAATTCATAACAGTAACAAAATGACAGCGATGAAGTAGCCACGGACATCATTTTATGGCTGGGGGGTCACCACCACATGAAGAACTGTATGAAAGGGTCGCGGCAGGAGGAAGGTGGAGAACCACTGATTTAAAAGCTTTCCTGGTGACATTCGATACAAAATGCTCAGTAACTTTAGAACAAAGATCTTGTTGAAGGGGAATTTTACCACCTGTGGGGCCACTTGAAGAACTAACTGGCTGGGCCAGTTGCTGGGGGTTGGTCATGGTGCTCACGGTCTGCATGTTGGGTGCCCTCTGGACGTCCCCCCACCCCACCCCACCCCGGGTTTCAGAGCAGGGTGTGCTAGAGGGCAGGGTCTGGAAAATGTCAGCTCTTTGAATATGTACATGTGGCTCTGAAATAAACCTGTGGTGAGTTCGCGTGTCTGTAAAAATGTACTTATGGCTCTCGAATCATTTTTAAATTGATCAGAGGGGCAGGACAGGCTCTTTTACCTCTAAGGTCTTACGACCCTGCTGTAGGGTTTTCGAAGGCTGAGAGTTTCCGGCCAGACCTTTCATCTGGGTGGATTCGAACTACCAAATCTTTGGTTTGTGGCCAAACACTAAAGGCGTTTGAGCCACAGGGGCAACTGCATTGTTTGAGTTGCTGAGAATTCTGAACGCAAGATACATTTAAAATGTACTTCCCAACGCTGCCCCCTCGCCACGACCACCCTCGGATGAGCTGTACAAGAGCCGCACTGGGAGCTAGGCCCAGGCCCACGGGCTGTAGAGACGAAGGCCCCAGAGATGCTTCGCGGCATGTTGGGGCTCCGGCCGTGGCAGCCCACCAGTCCTGCTCCTGTCCTCACCACATGGAATGGCCGCGCTGGGTCCTCAAAGCCAAGGCTCTGGTATTCCACAGCCACGCGGCTCCCATCCCAGAGAGCTACTTGACACACGGCAAGAGTTTTACAAAATCCAAAATAATTTTATTCACTTTCCCAGACTTTTGTGTCCACGAGGTGTTTAGCAAACATGCTAAGGCGACAGAAGTCTCGCTGGTCACGACATGCGACGCTGACCATGGGGCTGATGACAGCAGCAGCGACCACGGCCCCACAGCATGAGGAGGGTTTGCGGGGAACACACTGAACCACACAGCAATCGGCAACCTGAGGTAGGTCTCTTTACAGTACGAGAAACTTCTATGCCAGTGTGAGACACTGATTAGCTAGAGCTGCTCGGAGTCGTACACTTTAGAGAGGGAGGGAGGGAGACAGACAGACAGCAGCAAGAAAGAAAGAAACAGACCCACAAAATCTTGACCCCTGTCACTGAGCTGTGGAGGCGTGGGCACCGGCAAATGAAAAAGTACCCCTAAGGGGGCCGCAGGCAGCCGGGGGCTGGAGTCTGCGGGTCAAGGCGCCGAGGGCTCTGTGCAGTGGCCAGCGTGAGAACCTGAGGCAGTGGGGCTCTGGGGCCACTGGTTTAGAAACGACAGCAGGACGGCAGAGGCAGGAAGGAAAAGGCCCTCTCGCCCAGGAACGTCCATCTCTGTGCTGCTCATTCCGGGGCGGGCGTCACCAGGGGCACCTGACGAACAGGGCAGTGACACAGGACAGAAAGCAGGAGCCCTGAGAATTCACGGTGCTCGGCATGGTCTTCGCCAGCCTGGCCCCTGAGGGGCTGCCAAGGGGCCCTTGCGGTCACTTCTTCCTCATGGACCCCCGGACCCCCGGCACCGTGAAACCCCCAGCTCGGGAGGACATGGGCTGCCTTTCCTGTGGTCTCAGCACCACTCGGCCACGGGTACAGCCGACCGTCCACCACTAGGCCACGGGCATAGCCGACTGTCCACCACTCGGCCATGGGTACAGCCGACTGTCCAGCATGAGAGAGAGTAGGCACTGCTATCGCTCAGTGCTCATTTTAATATAAAACCAACGGCTCACACCTCCACTGTGAGTACAGGCTATGTACAGAGTGACATAGAGATAGAGCTACACGTGTAAAGCTTCATTATAGGCCTCTGATACATTTAATAATAACGGTTCCCTGAACCTTTTGAAGTGCAATTAAGAACAAAAACTAAATTCTGTGTACATGAGTAGGGAATAAATACCATAATCAAAATAGGGCTCTCCCTAAAAAAGAAACACACAAGCCAATTCTGCACTGCTGTGCGAGGGAAAGCCGGGCTGGGACCAGGCTGCGGCTAGAGGCCACAATGAGGGGCCTGCCGCGGGCACAGCCGCCGCCGGCGAGGGTGGCGGGTCTCGGCCAAGGGCTCCGGGGCGGGGGCTCAGCCCTTGACAGCAACCTTGTTATCTGCGGCGGCAAACATGGCGTAGAACCGGGAGCTGTCGTTGGAGAGAAGGACCGATGGGGTGTCGAACTCCACCACCTGCAAGAGATGGGGTCACATGAAGGCGGGGCATTGAGGAGGGCCAGCCGTCAGGGTGACCAGCCAGAGGACCCTGCGGTGCCCACATGGCTTTCCCAAATGGTCTCACGAGCCACTGGGGTGGAAGGGAGAGGCCAGCCCCAAGCATGTCTACTGTAAAGGCACAAATCAACAAGGTCATATGAACTGGAGGGGCAAAAGACACCCCTCCAGCCCACTCCCCAGGGACACTAATGAGATCTGCAGCTTCTTCAGGTGGCGATGGGGTCTATGAATGGCAGCTAGTGTGTGTGTGTGTGTGTGTGTGGTATGTACACGGCACACAGCACACTCAGGAACAGTCGCTGCTACGGTAGCTGTCATTACGCACAAAAGACAAGTGTTTCGCTGTAAATGACTTGTGTCATCAAATCCCATTTTACTTTCATCCCAGGGAGGTGACATCCACTGTGTACCAACAGCTGCAGCACTGCTCAGGACTCAGAGATGGGCACCGGCCCTCAGCGAGGTCACACACTAACTGGAGAGCTAGGACACGCACAATGTTTCCTGCCAGGCGGGACAACCCCCAAACCAAACTCACTGCCACCGAGTCCGTCCGACTCCTAGTGACCCTACATGACAGGGCAGGACCGCCCCTGTGCGTTTCTGAGACTGCAGGCTCTTTACTCTTCATCTGGGTAGAAAGCCTCCTCTTTCTCCCTCAGAGTGGCTTGTGGCTCCAAACTGCTAACCTCATGGTTAGCAGCCAATGCGTAACCCACTATACCCAGAGGGCCCCTTCCTAGGAGACAGACATGCTAAGAGAGCACTGAGATCAAGTTCAGAGGCCCAGCAGTTTGGGGAGGTTGGGCCGGAGCAGAGGCAGCTGAGAACAGCGCCACTACAGGGCTGCAGAAGGCAGAGAGAGGGCGGCGGTGGGGCCTGGGAGTGGTCTCAGAGCCGCCTCTAGCTACTCTCATGTGTGTGAATGAATCACTGAGAACCAGGGGATGTCAAAAAGCTCACAGAAAAATGGAATTAACAATGGAATGTTCTCATGAACTTTCTGAAGCTCCCTGGTCCTAAGGGAGTAGGGGGTCTCCGCGTGCCATCGGAGGTCTGAGTGAAATCAGTCTCCCTGCAGAGAAGAAAGCAAGAGCCCAGTAAGCACGCCTCTGACCCAGTCTCTTGACTGACAAGGCTGTCTGGAACAGAGCTGCTGCAGCCGCTTGTCCGAATGTTCAGAAACTCAGCTCCTCCCTGCTCAGGGCCAGCTTTCCTCCTGGAAAAGGCCACCTGCCATGCCAGGATCCCTCCGGGGCCCCGTACCTGTCCCTGAGCCAGCACCATAATCCTGTCGGAGCCCAGAACTGTGTGTAGGCGGTGAGCAATCGTCAGCATGGTGCAGTCTGCAAACGCTTCTCGGACGGTCTCTTGAATCAGTAAGTCTGTCTCTGAGTCCATGGCTGCAGTGGCCTCATCCAGGATCAGTATCTGTCCAGGAAGAGGAGAACGCTGTCGGTAGCTGCCCAGAGACCCTGCGCTCTCAGAACGAGGCGCTGCCCAGAGACCCTGCACCCTCAGAATGAGGCGCTGCCCAGAAACCCTGCGCAGCTGCCTGGAGGCCCTGCGCTCTCAGGAGGCGCTGCCTGGCCTGGCACTTCATGTGTGAGCCCAGTCAGGGTTCAGAGGAGAAGGAGGGACCTGCTCAGGTCCTGATGCATTCTGGTTATTCCAGGCTTTAATAAGCATCTCATTACTTAGCCGTTATCCTGTGATGCTTTTGTTTGTTTTTGCTGCGTAGACACACACATGTGAGAATGCCATTTTACTTATAATTGAGATAGCCAAAGGTTTGTCTCGATTTCTAAGATAAGGAAAGGAGGGTCCTTGTAGAAGACTGACTTATTAAGGCACTTGTCCCCACTGGGGCTGGGCAGAGCCAGCGACCCTTCTGGAGGTCCCCTGTCTCGTCTGTGATGTGAGGGGGCCTGGAGGACCTGGTGGATGACTGGGTGTCTGTGACCATTTAGCACTTTTCTCCAAGTCCAAGGTCGCTAAGAACTCAAGTATTCACTGGCCAGAAACAAACGAAGCCCTTGGGAATGAGAGGCTCCAGGGAGTTTGTTAGAGAAAGAGAAACACCCTCACACCCAAAGCCTGCTGGAGGCCAAGCTAACATGCCGTGTGCGCGCTCTGAGGGAGCGCCTCCTGGGTCAGAGCCACGTGCCCTGAGAGCCGGCCCGCCTCACCTTACAGTGCCGGAGCAAGGCTCTGGCCACACACAAGAGCTGTCGCTCCCCCACCGAGAAGTTGTCCCCATTCTCCATCACTTCAGATTCAAGTCTCAGAGGTAGCTGAGTAATCTGGGGAGAGGAAAAGGGAGATCAGACCACAAGTCCCAAACCGATTTGGCCTACTTCCCCCTTCTTAGGGAAAAAACAAACCCCAGACCCCGGAGCTTCCCCTAGCAGCGGAAGACCTGTGCGCAGCGGCCCGTCATCCAGGTGACGTGGAGGTCTCTGATTTTGCAGCACCTGCCCCTGCCCCCACCTCCAGGCGATGCCGCCCACTTTGGGAAATAGTGACTGGAAGGGTAAAATGCTAAGTTTTGTCACAAATGCAAGGGTGGGAAAATGAAGTACTCTCGGAGAGGAAGGCCTGACCAGCCGCGCCCGCGGGCACCAGGCAAGGAGGTGACGATGTGACGCTGTGCCCTGTCGCTGGCTGGCGTGAGGGGCACGAGTCCACTCTGACTCGTGGCGGGCAGGTGTGCAGAGCAGAGGTGCTCCACCGTCACCTCTTTCGGAGGCAGAGCACCAGGACTGTCTTCCTGGAGCCTTTGAGTGGAGTCGAGCTATTGGCCTTCTGGTTAGCAGCCGTGCACGTCTCCGCGCTGTGTCCCGGGACCCACATGTCCTATGTCAGTGCCTACTGCCAACATCCTATCCAAACACGATGAGACGCTATCATTTTTATGTCCCCAAATCCTACCAGGTCGTGGCCCCAACTTGTGACTCTGAGAGTCTGAGCATGCAATAGAAGACAGGTGAGTGTAAGCACTCCCGCTGGAAGTGCAAGCTGCAGACCCACTGTTGGCCGACTGTCCTCATCAGATGTGAAAGTGATTCATCAACTAAGCTCGTTAAGAGGAGGCCCAATAGAGAAGAGATAAAAATCAGAGCTGATTGGTTCAATCAGGGCAGAGACGCCGGCGACACACTCCACCCGGCGGGACCAAGCTGACCTCCCCTAAGAACGGGTCTATGGGCACGCCCTGTGTTTTCTGCAGGCCCAACCCATTCCGTGTCCTTTGCACATGGGTGGCCATTTCACAAGCGTGCTATCCTGTGATTAATAAAATTGAAATTAAGAGCATTCCTGACATCTGAGTCAAGCTGACTCCCGGTGTGCGACGGAGAAGAACACTTTGCAAGGCTGCAATCGTTGTGCAAGCACTGACCAGGTCTTTCTTCTGCGGCCACTTCAACCTTGGGGCTGGTAATCGGGTGCAAACTGCTCGTGCCACCCAGGGGTGTCCGAACCCCAAACCCAAACTGCCATAGGGATGGCTCTGGTGCACAGCGACGCTCCAGGGCAAGGTTGAACGGCCCCTGTGAGTTTCACACACTGTCACTCGTTACGGGAGTAGAAAATGTGTCCTTCGCCTGCCAGGCACCGACCTTGCAGTGAGTCGCCCGACGAAGCCCCTGCAGTGCCCCGAGGGCTCCAGCCGATGGCCACACGGCTGGGGCAAGGGCACAATCAGTCTGCAGAGCGTCTGAACTGCCCGGACACCTGCTCCAGTGCTCCTCGGCAGACGCGCGGGAGACCAGGGCAGCAGGCCGCAGAGCCTGCACCTCCCTGCGCTCCCCACCTGGCCGGTCCGCACAGCTCAGCTCGAAGCTTCACTTACACACTCTTTCATGTGTGTCCTCTCTAGGGCGTCCCAAATCTGGTCCTCCGAGTACTGGCTGAAGGGGTCCAGGTTGTATCTAGGGAGAGGTAAACGTAACAGGAATGTCTCAGTGGCCCAACATTTACGTTAACTGTCCAGCCGCCGCCACTGCTGTCTTTGAGGTGAAAGCGTAAAGATGCAGGGGCAGGGAAGGCACCAGGCCCACAAGGTCATGGACGGTTCCATGGTGGGGTGGACGCTGAAGTGCGAGTGCTGCCCCACACAAGAACATCTCAGGAAAGGGCCTGGGCCCTGTTCCTTACAAAACTTCACTTACTCTAATGAATGTGTGCTACTGTTGTGGTACAAATAATACGTTACAGAAAACTTGGTTAAGACACAGACAAAACCCTGGCCATTGTGTGCGTTCTGACTGCCTCATCTTGCCTACAAGCAGCAGCTGGTGGGTTTGAACCCCTCAACTGTGCGGTCACAGGCCAGGGAGTAACCCACAGCACCACCAGGGCTCCTGGAAATACAAATAGGACAAGACCCAAACCACATAAATGAGACCACAAGAAATAAGCAGTTAGCATTTTGGAATGATTACCCTCCAGATGTATGTTGCGTCTGTACACATGTGAAAACACACCTCTCTGGACACATAAGCACACAGAAAGTGCCCTTGCTTGTCTTACTGCACCAGGCGTGAGCCCTGGCACCAGACAGGAGCTGGGCAGCAGCTGGTCTGCCCCGGGAGGGCGCAGCCCCCGCAGAGACGAGGAGGGCGACAGGCACAGGAGGAAGGGAGTCTCCTGGAGCAGCGGGGAATGACTGCGGTCAAGAGCAGAAGGGCAGATTTAGGTATTTCTGAAAATGAGTCATTCCGACTCAGAGTGACCCTGTGGCGCAGGAAGAACCGGCCCGGGGCTTCCTGACTGCGGATCCTTACGGGAGTAGAAAGCCTCATCTTTTCCGCACAGATGTCCAAAGACAGGAGAGAAAGATGCTTGTGGTGGAGGGTGAAAGGGTGAATTGGATGTGGCGGTGTTTGTGTAGGCACGCGGTGTATTGCTCTGGGGCTAGTCACCTGAGAGGTGTCATCCACTTGGTGTTTCAGAAACAGGGAGACAGCAGCTTTAAAAAAATGACTCCCAAGTGCTGACGCAGGACGTCACTGCCTCTGAGGGGCTGCAGGGTGACAGGGGTTGGTGACAGGCTCTGAGGGCATGCTCCCTGGGGATGGGAGACATGGGCAGTGCTCGGAGGCCCAAGCAGGGTGGGCCACGTGTGTCTCCACATCTAGAGTTACGAAGTCCAGGCCCGGAGCACGCCAGCAGGTCGTGCCCACAGCAAGAGCAGGCTGCGCCTGGCCCTGGGCACAACCTGCGTGTCATCTAGGAAATTCCCCGGGAGACTCTGAACACGCGGTCGTCCGTACCTGGGGTCGCCTTTGCTCAGTGTTTTCTGTGACCGTGGCGGGCCCACCTCCAGACTGTCTGGATTCCTCCCACGTGCTCCGAGTCACTAGCCAGTGGCCTCGCCACGCCAACCCGGCTTCTCTGCGCTAATAAGAAGGGCTGCCCAATGGTCACACCCCCACGGAGCTGTGGCAAGGACTACGCTGGTGTCTGATACACCCTCAGCAGGACCTGGTTGCGGGCGAGTGCGGGTGATGCTGGCTCCCATCACCGCTACTCCTCCATCTATCACTGCTGGCCCTGCAGGTCAGGAAGTGTCTCCTGCCTCTCTCGGATGGGTGTCCCCAAGCTCACCCCAGCCCAGCCTCCTCACCCTGCCAACCTGTCTCTCCCTGCACACTGGCCATGCTGTTGTCTGGATTGTACCACGGGGTGTCTGCCACACACAGCATCACCCGACCTGGTATTTTCTGAGGAAATAAAAGAACGTATTCCCCCAATCCTGACCTGACTCCCTGTGAAGAGACAGCAGTATGTTGCAGGGTGTGCACTTTGCACTACCAGGGTCGCAGGGTGTGCGTTTGCACTGACCAGCTGAGCGCTGTGGAGGGAGAGCATGCGCAGAGGAATCAGGCAGGCTGGGCACGGACTCTCGCTCTGCCTCACACTGCGTGTGTAACTGTGGACGAGTACTCCCCCGCCTCCTCTACAAAAAGGGCATCAAGTGACATGGCGCGGTGAGTTGCTGCAAATGCTCAAGACGGTGTCGTAGAGCCGGCACGATGGCAAACCCCCAAACCCAAACTCACGGCCATGGGGTCAATTCCGACTGGGAGTGACCCTAGCGGGCAGGGCAGCGCAGCCGTGATTGGGACTGCTTCTGGGAGCAGAACGCCTCCTCTTTCTCACATGCACGATGGAGACACCCACAGGCCCGCTAGATGGCAGGTCCTCATGTTCGACTTGCATACCCGATGCACTTTCCAAGTGGGCACAATCCTCACCGAGGGCTGATGCCAGCACCAGGGCAGTTCCGTGGGAGGTGGGGAGGCGCTGTCTGGATCACAGTGGGCTGGTGGGGTTGAATGCATCAAGGGATCGGCCATGGGGAAAGTCTAAGCGGAAGACCACCTGCTTCTAATAAAAAACGCCAAACCCGAGAGAGCGCCGTGTCCTGCCGGCCCCTCCCCTTTGTCCCTCTTCCTCTGCACACGCCTTTGAGCTGCCGACATGTGCTGACTTTCCTCCTTCCCGGCTCCCGCCGCCGAGGACTTTCCACACGGACTCACTGGCAGGTGAGAACCCTGTGCCCTCCACAGCAAGTCCAAAGGCTAAAAGGGGAGTCCTACCGTGGCCTGCTGGAATAAAGACTGGGGGATTCCCGATGGGGCAAGGGGAGCCAGGCAATCGCGAGTGGCACTGATCAGGCTGGCAATGCAAGTCTCCACAATACAACCTCCCATCTGTGGGATCTGCCTGTGTGCAGGGACTGCCTCACCCTTTAGATGAGAAATTCCACCTTTTGGGTTTTAACAGGGGTCTCCCTTCCGAGCCACAATCCTTGGGGGTCTTAAAAATACTTTCTGATGTTACAATTATTGTTGTTTCATTAGCATCATCCCTTTAACAGCTCCTTATGAGCTTTTTTACAAGGTTTTCTGCAGGTGTAGACTCAGCAGAAGTAGGAGCAGGCTGGACATTGAATGCCCTCCCCGCTCCTCAGGCCTCCCCGCCCCTTCACAGGGCCCCAGCAGAGTAACCGAATGGGTTCCAGGTACACAGACATCTTCACAACCACAGGGAGGTGCTGAGCATACACATCAAGGCAGACGACTGAGCTCAGCAGGGAGCTCAACCAAGCAGAGCAAAGACAGGACCCCATCAGAGAACCTGGAGGGCCCTGGGTCCAAGCCACAGACAGCCGCATACAAAGTTATGCACCAACCGCATCAAACGTTGGAAGAATGGGGGAAATACAGTCAGAACACGCAGGCACTTATTTCGTTACAGTCCGATCTCTCAATGCTGCCTCTTTCTGCTTGGTTTTTATGAAAACTCATTCCACTCAAACGCACAGCTGCCCGCCGGGTAACGCTGGCTCACAGCTGCCCCCCAGGACAAGGAAGAATGCCCCCGGGGGTGGCCAATATGAGGAGAGCCCTGTCTTTCTCCATGAGCATATCTGGTGGTTTGGGACCTCTGACCTTGGGGTTTGCAGGGCAGGACACTCCGAGGGTACTGGGAAAGCCTACACGGGGCCCTGTAGAAGTCCTGGAGGAGGGAGAAAGCAAGCAGCTATTTCCACTCTGGGCGCCTCCTCCATGGCCGCCGCCACACACAGGTGTGGGGCTCAGGAAGGCTTGCTTCACATTCACCTGCTGGACCCGGCTGTGCTTCAGCCCCCGCACACCAGTGTGGTCCCTGTACCACAGGTGAATTTACACGGGACATGCCGAAGTTCCTCTGTTGGTGGCTGTTGAGCGGACTCTGGCCGAGGAGCACGGGCCCATAGGGCTTTCTAGGCTGGAGCCTTTACGAAGCAGTGCGCCCACAGTTTCCATCGAGGAGCCGCCACTAGGTGGGTCAGAAGCGCCAAGCTGTCAGTGAGCAGTCCAGTGCTTAGAGCCGTGCCACCAGGCTCCTTCAGGTTAGTGGTTGTCGCTGCTGTTCCTCTTTAGAGTCCCAGTGTCCGGCTGAAAGGAGTTTTCAAGCAGTGTTAGTTACCATCTAGGGCCCTTGAAATGGAAGCTTCCGAGATACCCCAGGTCCACAGGGACTAAAGCTTCCGAGGAGGGAACAGAAGCAGGGTAGTTCAGAGCGGCGACTGAAGGGGCGTGAGATGCCAAGAATCTGTTTCTGCGACTCTGGAGCAGTGCTTCCCCCAGAAGGTGCTCGGGGCCAGCATTAGCTCCAGACAGAGCCTGGCAGTGGGGACTCAGTTGTTCTTGCTTCCTTTGGGAGCTGAGAGCTAGATAGAGAAAAGTGTCCGAGAAAAGAGAGTACCTTAATGGGCAGTTCCAAAGGTCGAGAGGACCTCTGAACAGGTAAGAGACAAGAAGACTACTGCTTGCTGACGAACAGATGTCAAGCAGAGCCGCCCAGGCGCTGGGAGGTGACCTATCACCCCCAGGGAGACCTAGACTCAGACAAATGCCGAAGGGCAGCCAAGGGCAACTGGTCTCACCGGGGAGCAGAGAGGAGCCACGCCAGGCAGTAGACTCTCCACAGGATCGAAAGCCCGCTGGGGGCTGGTTAGCACAGAGAAAGGACGATATCTGGGTGTGTGGAGAAAGGGAAAGGCCACTCTGCCAGGGCTTAAGTTCAGGGTGAGGGAGAAGCTCGCCTCCAGGGCAAAAGTTAGCAGGGCGGGGGAGGATTACACGAAGCCCTGTAGGCCCTAGAACTCAGACTCAGCTGGTGGGGAGGGATGCCGCAGGCTATCTAAGGAGAGTGCAGCCCCAAATGGTCTGGTGTCGAGTTGAGATTGCGTGCGTACGCTGGATCACCTGTAAATCCGTATCTCACTGCCTTCTCTGGGCTTGGTTGACTTGGGTTAAACTTGCTTCCCCCTAAGCGTTTCTCTCCGGTTCTAACTGCTTGTTGGCACCGCCAGGTGAAGGTGACCCCTGCCCGACGCTGTGAGGGCTGAGAGGCAGGCCCACCCATAGCGCTTCCAGCAGGGAGGGGGGTGAACAGCCGAGAGGTGCTGCCCCTGGCGTGGGGCAGTCACTGCAGATGGCTGGTCTTCTGGGAGCAAAAGAACTCCTACAGCAGGATCTGAGCAGTCTCAGGCAGGAGCACAGTAGGGTTAGTTCGTAAGCCAGTGCCTGCAGTTGGTTTCGGAAGCCCAAAGGCCAGCGAAAAGGAAACTTGTCCGTTCTCCAAACTCTCCCAGCTGCCCAGCCAACAGCGCTCCTCGCTCAGTCACTGAGGCCCGCAGGCCCGTCTACCGCACAGCGTGTCCGCAGAGCAGCACACACTTCTCTGGAGGGATCACAGAGGCTCCAGGATGGGTCCCTCCCAGGACATCCTACAGACACCCCCCCACCCTACGCGCCAGCAGGTCAACGCCAAACCGCTCACGCTGGAAGTCCCTGACTCAAAGCCCAAAAGAGTTCTTGGTGAGCGTTTAAACATGACAGCGGAGGCTTCTGGGTGGCAGCATTTCCAAGGAGGGCAGTCTGAAGTTTGCACAGGCCTGGTTTCTGGGTCCTCTGCAGCTGGTGATGACAACAAACAGGATGATCCACGGGCCTTTGGTCTTGAGCTACAAATGTCAAGGGTGGATTTTCTCCCTGCAACATCTAAAAATAGAACTGGTGGATGGGAAGGAAGAATGGGTTTGGCAACGGCAACACCTGACTTAATTTTAGACTCACGTCCTCAACGGCCTCTTCTCTGGCCTTGGAATCGCCCTCCCCAGAGGGAGCGTCTACTATCTCCAGTGGATCTAGTCTCCCTGTCCAAACCCACTGGGCTTTCCCGAGAGCTTCCAGAGCAAACAGCACGCACACCGGCAGGCCAAAGATGCAGATGAGGGTGCAGTCCATCTGCCAAGCTTCTTCAATCAGGGGAGGAGGGGGCCTCGCAGGACCTAGCTCTAAAGGCGAGTGCTAACACTGGTCATGGGCATTCCAAATGATGTCATTACCAATAGCTTTTGAAATCCCTAAAGGAAAAAAAACCCTAATATCAAACGATAGTACTCTTTTCAGAGCAACAAAACCTTCTTAAGTGAAAGAGAGACGCTCTTTTCAGGTAAGCACCATCGTTAACCCTGCTTTTATTTTCAAAGGAGGCAGCCTGATTGGACACAGGCACACATTACGGGCGTCCATCAGGGTCAGGGGCAGAGCTCCAGGCTAAAGGTGGGCTGAATCCAAGGCTAAACCGTTGCTGGTACATTGATTCCCGCTCCCGGTGGGCTTGTGTGTGTGTCAGAGGAGACACATGAGCCACGGGGTTTCCGACGCCTGGCGTTACACAGAGGATCCCCAAACTTTTCTTCCTGGGAGTCTCTGGCTAATGAGCAGTGGGACAACTAGCCATCTGCGCCAGCCAGGGCCTTCCTCAAGGTAGGATAAAGTGTAGGAAAGAATAAGATCAAACACATCTGCTGCCCACTACTAGTTTAACAGGCCCGGCAGAGAACTGTCTTTGGTGCACCAGCGTCGTGTAGAGAAGAATCTCTCAGCAGGCAGCACCGTGGGCACAGATGCTGGGCTCAGAGATGGCATGAGCAGCGCCGCTGTCTGGTCTGCAGGCTTCCACTAGAACCGGCAGCGTTCAGCAGACCCAGGAGGAGGCTGGAAATGACGGAGGACAAAGGCCGAGACTGCTGGTGGATTGCTTATGCTTGTGTGTCGCACCAAGGGTTTGTGTTCAACAGTGAAGGGCTAGTGGATCCCATCCACGCAGGTACCACAGAAGAAAGGCCTGGGCTCCACTTCTGTAAGATTGTCGTCAGTTCTACACCGACAACGTGTGGGGTCATCATGAGTTCGAGCCCACTGGAGGGCACAGGGTTGGTGTTGGGGTCTGTGCTCTGAGGACTCTGTTGTTTCTTTTTCAGCCTTCAGAAGGACACCCAAGACTACGTGCGGGTATATGCTGTGTCCGCTTCCCTTCTCACCAACCATATAAAGACCAGGAAGGGGCTGCACCTCCCTGCATTCAGCTCTGGGGTTTGATCTAGATCTAGGTTTGGGAGGCCAAACCCACTCAAGGGTGACCAAGGTTAGGCGCCATCATAAATCTAGGGCCTGCCCTTATTACATGTATGCCCTTAGTCCCTCCCCTTCCTATTACGTGTACACCCCTAACTCATCCCCTTCCTGTTACCCTTATGCCTATTGTACAACCCCTTCCTGTGACGTATGTCTTTACCTGTAATTAGGGGGCATGCATGCCCCCAAAGCTATATAAGCCTGGGTTAGCAATAAATCGCCTTCTATCTCCTGGCCCCTCAACCTGTGCTGTGCACAGACCTGGCTGTTGAGATCATGGCTGTCCAGGAGGTGAGCATGCTACCATGAAATGTGTCTGACATCTTTTACTATCTCTCCCATCACTCCCTATTCTCTATGACTTTACTATAATCTTTACATATCTCAACCGTACAATTGCACCTATCGAGCCCCTGATTAGTTGTGGGGGGCTGGCTTCCCCAACACTGGGGCCTCACCTGACTGTGCCGCAGAACAGCACGGGCTCCTGGGGGATGATGGAGAGCTTGGTTCTGAGGTCGGCCAGGCCGATGTCACAGATGCGCACCCCGTCGATTTTGATGCAGCCTCCAGATAACTCCACCAGCCGGAAGAGGGCCATCCCCAGAGAGGACTTCCCTGAAACGGCAGAAACTCAGCTCAGGTTAGCAAATCAAAGGTTGGTTTGTTCTCAGGGTAAAATCTGCTACCATTCTACTACTGCTCGGCCAGAAATTCCAACAACTTCACTGCTCGTGCTGTCCCCACGGTGCTCTCTCCACGACGCTGGCCGGCCTGCCAAAGACAGAGTCCTCTCCTTGTTTTATATGTAACAGCTAAGAAGCAAAGGTATTTGCTTATTATTATCGATCTTATTATCCTTCCCTACACATTATCCAAACTTGAGGACACCCTGGCTGGCACGAATGGTTCGTTGCCCCACTGCTGACGACCCAGAGGCGCCCAGGAAGAAAGGCCTGGTGATCTGCTCTGTAACACCAGCTGTTCGAAACCCTAACAGGCTAGGCAGCCAGAAAGAGACGAGCGACTGCCCTCCACTACCAAGCACATGCATTTAAATCACACAGATTCAGCCTGACAGGAGCAGAGGGTCCGCTGTAAAACGCTGCCTTTCCACCACAGGGACAGGCCTCCAGGCTGAAGGCTTCTCCGGTCTGATTTAGGAGGGAAGATCTTACAAAAGGGAGCCAGGGGCCACCCATGGGGCCAGATTTCTGTCCTGCCTGACTGCTGGAGCAGAGAAGAAAAAAGGGTTCACTGCCGCCCCCAACCGCTGGGGAAAAGACAGAGTCATGGAGGCAAATGTGCTACGGGGGGAGGAGGAGGAAGACTCTTCCAAGCCGGCTTCCCAAGTTCCTGAGCGATTGATTGCAGGTTGAGCAGTGGGTTTGGGGGATAAAGAGATCAGGCTCACAGCACTGTGGTGAGAGAAGCACAACACATTTTCTTAATTGAATCTTAAGAAGTTAGATAAGGAAACAATACCAATCTCCCAGAATCTCACTACTCTTATTTTTAGCACCTCAAGTCTTTCCCTTCTAGTTGAGATTGTACCAGAGGCCCATGAACACAGGCTCCCCTAACCTTTCCAGCAGCGGACATCACTTTGATCTCCAGTGGATAGATTTTAGAAGGGCACAAATGCTCCCGGCACACACTCTCTACTAGTTGGGCTAACCATTGTTTGAAGACCTTAGCCTTTCTGCCTGTGGATGCTCAGGAGGCATCGTTAGGGTTCCCAGTTCCCCCCACTGCCATCAGCTCCAAGTCAGAGTCTCCCAAAGGGCCGAACAGCTGTGGAAACCTTTCAGTGGAGCCCGAGCTTTGACACAACAGAGGAGAGCCCACGGAGCCACTCTGAGCAACGGGGACGCTCATGGACTGTGGGTCTTGTGGTGATGAGACCCTCAAACACCAAGCCCTCTGGAGGGTTCCTCATGCACTCTGCTGTGGTGGGGGTGGATGCAGCCATGAATCAAGGCCACACAGGCGGACGGAAAAGCTGTGGAACCAATAAGGGCTGTCTCACGAGAAGATTCCCATTTAACTGTGAGAAAGCGCTGTGCCGGTGGCAGCAAAGCCAACGCTACCGTCTGCGCGATTCTCCCCAGCAATATGGGAAAACTGACGTGACCGAAGTCATGGCTGGCTGGGGCAGAGGCGAGAAGAGGGGCCGTGCTTGTTTGACTTGATGACCGTGACTCCGTGGATAAGACTGTCATTCAGAAATACCATCCTGTGGAGGGCCACGGCTGTGGAAGAAGGAAAGCCCCCGTGGAAGCAAGGGATGGTCAGGGCCTCTTCCAGACAAAGAGGGTGCCGTGGATCTGGACACCTCGCTCGGTGGTGGCCGAGGAGGTGGTTTGATGGGAATGACAATTGTTATGGATCAGGCGACACCTGTGATAGGGTCATTCAACCCCTAGAGGGGTCTCAACCCACAGGTCTAGAGTAAGGTGTTTCTAAGAGTCTGAGTGAGGTAGCACAAGGTTCTCTGCTGTTTGCTACTGATCTCGGTCTGAGAACGATCGCTGCCTTTGCAGGGACACAGCCCCTTGTTAGAGTGGCATGTGCTCTGGATAGATCGGAGGCAACACTGCCAGCACATCACAAAATGACTTAAAAACGGGCACGGCCTTTGACTCAACACGAACAAGGGCACGTGAAGGTGAAACTGACGACCGCCCAGCGGGGGTTGGTTCAACGTTAGCGGTGGTGCATCCGTTAAACGGAGGGTATCGGACGCAGCACGGACATCACGCTACAGAATATGAACTGACCTGGGGGAACAGGCCGAGGAACACTGAGCGTAAAACCCCTTCTCACAGGTACAGGTGCTAGAAGGAAAGGCCTGAGAAACGTCACCCATCCAACCAGCAGTTATGTCTGGAGCTGGAAGTGTGGGGCTTCTCCCTTTTCGTGCATGACGTGTGCTCTATGTTCAGTGCACCGAGACTGCAGACGTTCATCATTAGAAAACGCAAACCCAGAAACTTGGTTCCAGAAGGGTCCAGAGATACTAATCACCTAACATAGATCTCGATTGAAAGGCTAAAAGTGGTGTTCTAGGAACAGCAGGTCACGAAGCCCAGACCCAATTCAGACAGGAGTCCACGTTTGCCCCGAGTGCACATGCGTACCTGACCCTGTCCGCCCCACGATGCCAATCTTCTCCTTCGGTTTGATGGTGAAGGACACTTTCTTCAGGACCAGCGGGAGGTTTTCTCTGTATCTCATCTCTGCCTCCTCGAAGGTCACCTCTCCTTCCTGGGGCCAGTCGGGCGAGGGAGCCTTGTCCTTAATTCTGGCAGGTGCTTCCAAGGAGAGCGTCTGGGGAGACAGAAGTGGTAGGTTCAGACAGGCCACGTGGACTTCGGGGCCTTGGCACCCTGTCCTCTTACTGTGGGAAATTCCCTGGGCACTAAACGTATCCCTACTCAGCCAGACCAAGGCAGAGTACAATGGCTACTGGGCAGCGGTTCTCAAACCACCTTTTGTCCTGAGGGATCCTTCCACAGCCCGGCCATGGCGGCTGAGGGGAAACCCAAGCGGTGGAGGGGAGACATGAAGCGTCCACCTCTCCTCGGCCCCAGCAGTGTTTACGGGAATCCTCTGAAACTTGCCACTTGGAACCTCTGACCTAGACCCGATGGAGGGGCATCAGGTCCTGACCCAGACTGTCACCTCAGCTCTGCCGCCAGGAGCAGAGTGGCCTGGACATGACATGCTCCACCCTCCCCGGCTCTTTGCTCCTCAGCTGTATGCTCTGGGGACTGAGTGGAAATCCGTTCCAGCTTTAAAATACTGTCGCCTGGGTAATTTCTGTCACCAAGAGTTGGACCTCACAAAGTTGGAAAATTAGCTGGCAACCGGCTTTGGGGCTGAGTCCTCTAGGGAATGAAGGGCCAAGGACTGCAGTTCCCTGTGAAGCCCAGGGCTCCAAGCTGGAAGGACGCTGTGCTGGGACGGACATCCAGGTGGGCATGGGCCAAGGCAGCCAGTCCTTGGAGAGAGGACTGGCTTGTACAGCGTCCATTTACCACCCGCCTGACTATGGCAGCCTGGGAATCCCACTCGCAGCGGTATGTCAAACACTACCTACACACCCACCACCACCAACCACCACCACCAACCACCACCACCACCACCACCCTTCCACAGACCAGGCCAGTGGACAGCCTCACACACGGACAAGAACAGCTATTCAGCCCATATACAGCTGCCAATTGTCCTGAAAAGAATCCCTCCTAAGTTTAAGATCTAGCCTATAAATAAGGGGTTCATAATTAAGGCCAAACCTTCATTCGGAGTCAGAACTGACTCAGAGGCAGAGAGGTTTTTGGCTTCAGTGAGGTAGGTCCCCGCTTGAAAACACTCTCAAGTTACAAACACTCAGTTTTCAGCAGAAAGAACCGTTTTTCAAAACCCTGTGAGCCACCAACGTGGAACTTGGAATGCAGAGTCTATCTGTGTAGGCGAGGTTATGAGTGCTGGGCAAATCGCATGCCAGGCCCCCAAATGGATACACTCTTGAGAGTCAAGTTTACCCTTTGCTCCTTTCTGTAACAAAGCTGCTTTCTGAGCTGTACCTCCAAAGCCAGCATGTGCAGCCACGGCGAGACTGCAGGGTGCCTGGGAAGGTGGGAGGAGCCGGACAAGCTCATTATCAATGGAAGTAACTGGCTTCTAAACCGCGGAGGCGGTTTAGAAGAGGCCCTGGTGGTATAGTGGTTACACATTGAGCTGCTATCCACAAGGTCAGTGGGTCGAAACCACAGGCTGCTGGAGGGCAGAAGACGAGGCTCTCTATTCGAGGGAGGAGTTGCAGTCTCAGGACCCACAGGGCAGTTCTACCCTGGCCTAGAGGGAGGCTCGCCATGAGGTGGAATTGAGTCAATGGTCGTGAGTTTGGCGTTAGCCATGGAGCTTGGATCAATTTGGAACATACAAGCCTGGTTTCCTCCTCTTCCTCACCCTCCTCATAGCCCTCAGTTCCCCCAGTTCCTGCATCACGACTTTCAGAGGGGAGGCTCGTCTTTGGGTTTTTGCTTGCTTCTCAGCAGGGTTTCTGAAAGCCATCTCTGGCCAGGAAGTGAACTAGACCAATAACAACTAGCAATCAAAACCAAATCCACCCCTCCAGCTGATGCGTGTGGACAGAGCAGAACTACCTCGGTGGGTTTCCGAGGCTGTCGCTGTTTCCTGAAGCCTCATCTTTCACGGTGGAGCAGCTGGCTGGTGGATTTGAACTGCTGACAGACAGTGTGGCAAGCAGCCTGACTGTGCCATGGTTTTAAATCATGTACAGAACACGCCACATTTAGTCCTGAACACTCTTGACAGGAAGCCAATGAACCATTTGCAATTCAGTTCTTCCCAAAGTGGAAGATAGCTCCCTCCATCCCCTCACCCCAGGGGTGTGGAATGATCCAGGGGCCTGCAAAAGCAGACACCTACACTTTATCCTGGACTAGTGCCTGTCGAAGAACATGTTTGCATTCTGGGTAATTTCTTCCTGAAAAGGGCGTGGTAGGCCAACTAAGTTTGGGAATCTATGGATTAGATGATATTCTCTTCTCCATTCCTCACATGCCCTAGACTTGGGATAAGGAAGGTAGAGGCGGGGGCCCTGGCACGTCCTTCAGTGAAAGGGTGAAAAGGACCCAGAAAGGACCGGGTTGGGCCCCCGTCACCGAGCCGCTGGCAGTCTGACCTTAATGTAGTGGTTGATCCTCTCCACCGAGGTGAATCGCGCTTCCGTCTCAGACGCTAGTCTGACAGTGAACTGGAACAGCCCGGTTAACTGACGAGGGAAAGGGAAAACCAATGAGAGAATTTGTCACCAAAACGTGCCAGGCCCATCTCCTTCGTTTAGGGGACCATGACTGAGGTGAGATGAAGTCCCATCATATGGCTTTTGCCCTTTGGTTCTCTAGAACAAACAGCTCGGGAGAGTCCCCTTTGCCTTAGCTCCTGCCTCAGAGGGGCTGTCACTGCTGTCCAGGCTCCAGAGGGATGGAGGCTGTAAATATCTACTGAGGCAGACAGCCTCATCCTTCTGCCATGGAGCAGCTGGTGGGTATGAACTGTCAACCTCCTGACCTGACCCTGCGGAGCTGATGGGCATTTCCTGGGTGAGCAGTAAATAGGTTAGTCTGTGATTTTCTGTCTGGTTGTTGGCTGCAGCCTGCCGGTGGCTGGTAAGCACCTTGCATGCATTGGTCAGTCGCAAGTGAGCTGCGGTGCAGTCCATGATGCCTATGACACCCCCCCCACC